CTACTATACCTCCTAGATTTATCTGCACTCTTTAGATACAGTTGTATAGTTATCTGTAAAGCCACTTAACTGTAGCAAAATTCATATTTTTCACCTTGAACAGAGATATCAAGAGAGACTTTATTTTATATATTGCTAAAAACCAGAAATATTTATCTTTCCAGCATTCCCCAGTCAAATCGTATGAAAAGGGAATATGAGTTTGTTTGCTTATGGCTCCTAGTAATCCCTGATGCCCTGCCTAAAGACTCAAACTATTATTTTAATAATCTCTTTTAATCTTTCCCAGATTTCATGTCAGACCACTCTGGTTAAGGTATGGAGACTATACTTGCCTCATTTAAAAAATTACTACTACTACAGAAAAGATAGGAGATGTTCTTCTGTCTCTGCCTCATATTAACTAGTAATATACTATTTACATCAAAGAGCAGACCTGTGCCTCTCTTAGCTTTTTTAAAAACTATATATTTATTAATTTTTTTTACAGAGAGGAAGGGAAAGGATTAGAGAGTTAGAAACATCGATTCAGCTGCCTCTTGCACACTCCTCACTGGGGATGTGCCCGCAACCAAGGTACATGCCCTTGACCGGAATCGAACCTGGGACCCTTCAGTCTGTAGGACGACACTCTATCCACTGAGCCAAACCGGTTAGGGCTCTCTTAACCATTTTTGCAAGTCTTAGCACACTGTAGGTTTCAGCCCAAGCTTGCTTCTTATGTATGTCAGTACCACTTAAAAAAAAAAAATAGTTTCTTTCCTTTGTATGTATTTTTATTGTGCACCTCCTTCTAGTTCTGAATTGAGTGCTGAGCTTTTTGTCCAGTCTTTCTAGACACCTCCGATCCTCTCCCCTCCATCTCAGACAATGTGAAACGGGCAGAACCTCACTTTTGAGAGCTCAGTCTTCTTGTGTTCCATTTCAGTGCCTCACATCCATGGGCTTGGGCCCTGTCTTCACTGTTTGAAGCCTATTCTTTAAAAAGCTAGAAATGACATCTGCTGTATTTATTCCCTGTCCTTCCTGTCTGTTCGGCTGCGTTGCTCTTCTTGAGGCTCCCACCACTTTCTCTCTTCTGATCAGCTTCTTTTTCTTGGCCAAATTAGGTTCAGAATATAATTCTACTTATTTCTTAGTCTTCTGGGTGGTAGAATAATTAGCCAGCCAATTTAAAAAATTATATGTGCTGCTTTTTAGTTTAATGAGATTTTTTTATTAGATGTTCAGCTAGCAGAAATCTTTTATCATTTTGTGGCAGTATGCTCTTAGCTAAGAAAGTAAGATAATTTCACCATTACTCAGTAGTCAGGCCATCTCACTGGCTTCATATTAAAACTTGAAGGGCCATCTCTCTTTGCCACAAATCCAAGGAAATCAGTTACCTTCTCTCCTCTTTAAAGATGTTATGACCAGTTTTCTGTTTGCTTTTTAAATGTCTTGTCCAGCATTTGTTGGTGTTCTTTTTAACAATATTTTTAAAATTAATTCTTGGGAAAGAAAGAAACATTGATTTGTTATCGCACTTATTTATGCATTCATTGGTTGATTCTTGTATGTGCCCTGATCAGGGATCAAACTAACAATGTTGGCATATCCAGACAATGCTCTAACCAACTCAGCTCCCTAGCCGGGGTCTTTATGACCAGTTATTTACTGGATTTTTTTTTTTTTTTGAAGCTGACCTCAGACTAGAATGTAGTATCTTCAATTCTTGCCCTTTTATACTATAACTAGTATAGAGACACTAGGGGCCCAGTGCACAAATCCATGCACCTTGAAAGGAACTATGTGGCAGCACCAGCAGTGGGTGTGAGTCCGGGAGGCACCGTGGCATGTGGGGGCAAAGCATTTTCAGTGCCACCAGAGGCTCGCCCTGACGACAGCAAGCAGCACCCTGCCTGGTCTGGTGCCCCTGCTCACCTGCTCCACCATCCTGCTGCAGCTGATGCCCACCATGTTCAGTGCACACCCCCTGGTGGTTAGCGCACGTCATAGCAACTGGTCGTTCTGCCATTTGGTCTGTTTACATATTAGCCTTTTATTATATAGGATTGGCATGTTTTCAAATATTTTCATCATCGTGAAATGAAGGTTATAAAATAGAGAGTTAGGAGCTCATGATATCTTACTGTCCCAGTTAGTTTCTAATTTCCTTACATGCTATGGACACCTGTCTGTTTGCCTCTCTTACTCAAGATAGAGCTCATCCAACCTCTCCCTTTCTGAGCTGTAGGATCTTTTCAGAAGAGAGCATTCCACAGCGGGTAGGCCTGAGGGAGAAAATTAAACCATCGTTGTGAATTAGTAGAGACTACTCAGAAAAGGGTAATTTATATCAGAAGCAATTTATATTCTTCAGGGAATCCAAGTTAATACAGGGAAGATCACTCTTAATAATGCTTTCTGCTATGCCTCTACTCCCAGGTATGGATTTCCACTTGTCGATGCATATCTTAAAAATATACAGTACTTAGTCCTTGTTGGTGTGGCTCAGTTGGTTGAATGTTGTCCTATACACCAAAAAGTGGGGAGTTCATTTGATTCCTGGTCAGGGTACATACCCAGGTTGTGGGTTTATTGCATGATCAATGCTTCCCTCTCACATAGATATTTTTCTCTCACTCTTTATCTCCATCCCTCCCATCCCCTCTCCTTTCTTCTCACTAAAAATTAATTTTTAAAAAATTAAAAATACTATATTCATTTTATCTTTTTAACAGTAATATTTCTGCATCCTTATCCTTGATTAGAGGTACTATGAAATATTGAGAATTTCAAAATCATTACAGTGTATTAGGGCTGAGTATTTGAGACAATGCAAATAAACAAAAATATAAATCATACCAACAAATATCTATCTATATATATAAAAGGCTAATATGCAACGTTTCCCCTCAGGAGTTCAAACATGAGACTGGGAGTTCCATCAATAATCACTTGCTATGACATGCACTGACCACCAGAATGAAGGAAGGCCCCCATCAGCCCTGATCATCAGCCAGGCCTAGGGATGATCATAAATTTTGAGCATCAGGCCTCTATTTTACTAATAAGCACATAAAAAAATTATTTCTTTAAATTGCATATGTTTCACTGAATTAATTAAATACACGAAGGAATCAGAGAATATAATAATATGCCAAATTATACATTGGTAGCAACTACTTAAGAGTCTACCAGAGTGGGTTTTCCTAATCTGTATTCAACTTACCTCTGAGAAAGAGAAGACTTCTGTGTATTTCCAAAATTGTTATCGTTGAATTTGTTATTGTTGTGGTATAAGCAGGGACCTAGAACTGTATTTACTGGTGACCTTTAGCCTCCACCTATAGGAATGTGGAATTGAATGATGCTTTTGTTCCCTCAGCAGAGTAAAAGAAATTCAGTGTGCCAAGAACATGAGTAATTCAGATATTTGAGGTTTTTAGATCTTAAATCCTCTCTTGAGAAAATAGTTTTATGTATTGAGTTTGGCTGTACTAATTTGGGTTAATCTTAAGGGTAACTTTAGAATAAATTTTAGAATTCCAGCTTCAAATGATAAGTCTCTGCTTAGTCATGAGGGGTTAGGTGTAATGCCACATTATATTGAGAAGTCTAAGAGCTGTTGCCATACGTATATTAACCTTGCTAGGCACTGACATTTGAGAAGGAAGAAAAGCACTCTACATTCCTAAACGCTGAGCTGTTGCTGTGTTGCAAGATCTTGTTTTCCTTAATTCCTAGTAATCTTCACTAACCCTTCCTTTCAAGGAATCATCAAATGTGATCTACTTAAGGATGTATAGCACCCTGACCCGGGATTTCAGTTGGTTAGCTCAGTTGGTTAGAGCATTGTCCTGAAACCCCAAGGTTGTGAGTTTGATTCCTGGTCAGGGCACATGCAAGAATCAGCCGAAGGATGCATAAATAAGTGGAGCAACAAATCTCTCTGTCTCTTTCTCTCTCCATCTCCCACTCCCCCTCCCCCTCCCCCTCCATCACCTCAAATCAATAATTAAAAAAAAAAATGTATGGCAACAAACTCTCCCAAAGACTAACAGCTTTAAAATATATATATATATATATATATATATATATATATATATATATATATATATATATATATATATTATTGATTCTTATAGAGAGGAAGGAAGAGGGTTAGAAAGTTAGAAACATCGATGAGAGAGAGACATCAGCTGCCTCCTGCACACCTCCCACTGGGGATGTGCCTGCAACCAAGGTACATGCCCTTGACCGGAATTGAACCCGGGACCTTTCAGTCCGCAGGCCGCAGGCCGACGCTCTATCCACTGAGCCAAACCAGTTTCGGCAAGAGTAACATATTTTATTGCTCTGTAACAAAAGGAATATGTGCGTGTCTGGTCCCCCTCCCCCCCTTTCTGCTCTCCCTTTCTGTAACTATCTAATAACTGAGAGTGCTACTAAGTGACCACAGGTGAGTAGCGTATACCAAGTATATGCTGGACAAAGGGATGATTCATGTCCTGGTGGGACAGAGCAGGATAGTGTGAGATTTTGTCACACTTCTCAGAATGGTTTGCAACTTAAAATTTAGGAATTGGTTATTTCTGAAATTTACCATTTAGTATTTTCAGGCTGCATGCAACAGAAACTGTGGATAAAGGGGGACTGCACAATAAAGACACTGAAGTGCATTTCAGAGAACAAATATATTACTGAATGTTCTAAATTGTGATTTTAGAACTCTACATACGATTTCCACCCTTTTAGAAACACCTCTGTTCCCTAGAAACACCGTCTTTGGGCATTTAGGTGGTTTTAACAGTGAATATCGGTCATTGCTCACCTTGTTGTGGTCAGGGGGATATCACAGCTGGTAATCTGAACTGAATAGTTGGGAAGAAACTCCAGAAAAGTGAGTAATATTTATGGTTTGCCAAAGCAACTTGCAGTTAAATTGCTTCCACAATAAATCTGCTCTTGCACCTTTGTCAGATGTTAACAAAAGTCATTTATTTGTTTTATTTCAGTGATGTCCTTGCCTTGCCCATTTTTAAGCAAGAAGAGTCAAGTTTGCCTGCTGATAATGAGAATAAAATCCTACCTTTTCAGTATGTGCTTTGTGCTGCCACCTCTCCAGCAGTGAAACTCCACGACGAAACCCTGACATATCTCAATCAAGGTGAGATGCGTCCTTGTTTGTTAGTATTACTGCAGACCTGCTGAATTCATGATATTAATTAGGTACACTTTACGTGAAAAGTGCACCTTTCGGCCCAGCTGGTGTTGCTCAGTGGTTGAGCGTCAACCCATGAACCAGGAGGTCAAGGTTCGGTTCCCTGTCAGGTTACATGCCTGCAGTTTCAAGCTCAATTCCAAGTGGGGGTTGAGAGGGAGAGGCTAATTGGTATTTGTATCTCTTTCTGCCTCTCCCTTCATCTCTCTGAAATCAATATAAACTTTTTTTTTTTTTTAAGTGCATCTTTCTAGTGTGGACTGTCAAAATCCAAGGCTGCCGAAGCCGGTTTGGCTCAGTGGTAGAGCGTCAGTCTGTGGACTGAAAGGTCCCAGGTTCGATTCCGGTCAAGGGCATGTACATTGGTTGCGGGCACATCCCCGGTAGGGGGTGTGCAAGAGGCAGCTGGTCGGTGTTTCTCTCTCATCGACGTTTCTAGCTCTCTATCTCTCTCCCTTCCTCTCTGTGAAAAATCAATAAAATATATATTTTTTAAAAATCCAAGGCTTACTTTAGATATTTGAGTTTTAATAACATATGAGATATATATTAATAGCTTCTTTTATCTGCATGCCCATTTTTAGTTTCCATCTCCCTCTTTTTTCTAATCTATGTTCCCTGAACATCCTTACTGGTTAGTATTTGAGAAGAATTACCCCACTCAGCATTATTGTTTATCAGTTGTATGGCCTTGGACAAGTTGCATAAACAATTTTTTTTCTTTATTGACTCAAGTATTACATATGTGCCCTTATCCACTCCCAACCCCCCCAACCTCGCTCATTCCCTCACCCCCCTAGTGTCTGTGTCCATTGGTTAGGCTTATATGTATGCATACAAGTCCTTTGGTTGATCTCTCCCCTTTCCCCCCCATTCTCCTCTACCTTCCCTCTGAGGTTTTACAGTCTAGTCTGTATGTCTGTTCTTTTGCCAACATCAGACAGTTTTGAGAACAGTGGCTTTGTAATATAGCTGGATATCTGGTATTGAGATCCCTCCTACTTTGTTCTTCTTTCTCAGGATTGCTGCAGCTATTCTGGGTCTTTTTTTTTATTCCAGATGAATTTTTAGAGAGGCAAGGAGAAGAGAGGGGAGGGGATGGGTACCGTTGGTATTTTAATGAGGAGTGCATTGAATCTATAGATTGCTTTGGGTAGTATGGACATTTTAATGATGTTGATTTTACCAATCCATGAACACAGTATATTCTTCCATCTGTTTATGTCTTCCTCTATCTCTTTTTTTCAGTGTCCTGTATAATAGTTTTCTGAGTACAGGTCTTTTACCTCCTTAGTTAAGTTTATTCCTATGTATCTTAATTTTTTTGGTGCAATGGTAAATGTGATTGTTTTTAAAATTTCTCTTTCTGTAAGTTCACTATTTGTGTATAAAAATGTATTAGATTTCTGGGCATTAATTTTATATCCTGCTACATTGCCGAATTCATTTATTAAGTCTAATAATTTTTGATGGAGTCTTTAGGGTTTTCTATGTACAATATCATGTCATCTGCGAATAATGACAGTTTTACTTTTTTCCAACTGGATACCTTTTATTTCTTCTTCTTGTCTAATTGTTATGGCTAGCACTTCTAGTACTATGTCAAACAGGAGTGGTGAAAGTGGACATCCCTGTCTCATTCCTGTTCTTAGGTGAAATGGTTTTAGTTTTTGCCCTTTGAGTATGATGTTGGCTGTAGGTTTGTCATATAAGGCTTTATTATGTTGAGATATGATTCTTCTATTCCCATTTTGCTGAGGGTTTTTATCAAGAAAGGATGTTGGATTTTGTCAAATGCTTTTCTGCATCAATTGATATGACTATGTTTGCATAAACTCTATGTTTTAGTTTCCTTATCTGTAAAAATGGGATTGATAATACCTTAGAGAGAGTTGTGTAAATTAAATGATACAATGTATGAAAACATTTAGCACTGTGCCTATCCTATCCTATCTAATAAAAGTAATATGCAAATTGACCATCATTCCAACACACAAGATGGCTGCCCCCATGTGGTCAAAGATGGTTGCTTCCATGTGGACACAGATGGCCACCACAAGATGGCCAGCAGGGGAGGGCAATTGGGAGGGATCAGGCCTGCAAGGGAGGGCAGTTGGGAGCAATCAAGCCTGCAGGGGAGGGCAGTTAGGGGTGACCAGGCTGACAGAGGAGAGAAGTTGGGGGCGACCAGGCCTGCAGGGGAGGGCAGTTAGGGGCAATCAGGTTGACGGGAGTAGTTTGGCATCAATCAGTCTGTCAGGAGAGTGGTTAGGGGGTGATCAGCCTGGCAGGCAGAAGCAGTTAGGAGCAATCAGGAAGGTAAGCAGGCAAGAAGTTGGGAGCCAGCAGTCCTGGATTGTGAGAGGGATGTCCGGCTGCCCGTCTAGGCCTGATTCTACCTGGCAGTCGGACATCCTTTGAGGGTCCCAGATTGGAGAGGGTGCAGGCTGGGCTGAGGGACACACACACCCCCAGCCCTGTGCACGAATTTCATGCACCAGGCCTCTGGTAGTAAAGAATTGTATCATTGCTGACATGTACACATAAGGAACTGTTTAACATTGAAATTGGAACTTAAGAGAACTGTTGGCCCAAGATGAAACTCACTGCAGACTGATTCATTTGCCTCCCAGCATGACCAATGTTGCTTGTCTCATTTTCAGTTCTTGTAAGTGTATTTCTAGTAGCACATGATCTCACTCATCTAGGGGAAATAATGAACAACATAAACTGATGAACAAAAACAGACCTAGAGACAGGGAAGCATCGATCAGACTGTCGGACCTCAGAGGGAAGGTAGGGGAGAGTGGGGGAAAGGGAGAGACATCAACCAAAGGACTTGTGCGCATGCATATAAGCGTAACCAGTGGTCACAGACGACAGGGGAGTGGGGGCATACATAGGGAAGGGTTTGGGATGGCAATGGGGGGGATGAGGACAAATATGTGATACCTTAATCAATAAAGAAATTTTAAGAAAAGAAAAAAAAGAATTAGTAGTTGTTACTAATACTAATAATATATTCTTATATATTCAAGCAACTGAATTTTATTTCTTTTTTTTTGTCTCTAAGGCAATTTATGAAAGTTCCTGCATTTAACAACTACCTGTCATACAAGATATTTGGGGCGATACAAACTTTCATATGGTTCTGTCTATACTCTCTCAAGATAGACAGGTTGTTACTAAGTTTTACTCTATCCTTACCCTTCTTTTTCTATAGTGTGTCTGGCACTTCTAGGTGATGCTGGCAATAATGCGACAATGATGATGACAGCTTACATTCATAGATTCATTAAGTGCCAGGCCTTGTTTTACATGCTTTATATGTATTAAGGCATTTAATCCTATCAATAGCCCTGTGAGAAGAATTACTAAATGTTCCCGTTTTGAGGCTGAGGCAACTGAGGCAAACAAGATTAAGAAATTTGAAAAGGGCACACAATGGAAGAACCGGGTTTTTAAACCCAGAGGCATAGCATGGCTTCCAGCTACATTACACTGAGGAAAGGGACCAGGGCTTATGTATGTTTCTATCCCACAGAGAATCTAACATTACTTTCCAAGCTCCAAAAATGTTGCTAAAAATGCCCTTTTCTAGAAGTGGGAGTGTGGAGAAAGAGGAATCTTGAATCGTTCAGTAATCCCAAATATGATCTGTCTGAGAGAGGAATATTCCTGGGGTATTGAAGGGCGGTAGTGCATACATTTGTGTGTGGGCCATTTTCTAGCCGCTTCAAGGCTAGAGCTTATTCTAGATCCTTGGATCTGACTTTAAGCCCCTCAGTTTACCTGCAGGCAAACGGTTGGGGGAGGGGGAAGCACGCCACAGCCTATGGTGTCATGGGAGTTAGAGGTTTCTCATCTCATTCCTCTTACAACACACAGGCTCCAGCTCCCTCTTGGGTGCCCAGGTCCACCAAGCACCCACTTCTTCCCTGAGCCTCCTGCCTGAGTCTGGACGCCTGGATGTTTCTGACAGTTCTTTCCCCATCCCCAGGACTCACGTCCTTCAGCCCGTCCAACAAAGTGCGGTGGCCCCATTACAGTAGATTCTTCAGAGAACACTGCTCTCCTAAAACTCAACTCCCTGCTGCCCCCGTGAACCAGAGGGAAACTTGCCTCACAACTGAGTTTGTTCTGTCTGAATTTTGCAAAGTCAATTATGATGACTGTAATACGTAGTTACTTTTTCTCCCAGGACAGTCTTATGAAATCCGCATGCTAGACAACAGGAAACTTGGAGAACTTCCAGAAATTAACGGCAAGTTGGTGAAGGTAAAAGAAAATGAAAAACATTCTTTTTAGTGACTCTTTGTAATATTATTTTGCTTCCATAAAAGGCTTGCTGATATCTTACCTGCTACAGTTTGCTGGCAGAATGTGGGATCAAAGTGAGCCCCTCTATTCACATGAGTTTTTCAGAGCTGCAGGAGCGAAGGCTTACCACTCCATGTCAGGAAGGAGAGTTTCCTGATAAGTAACATCCTTGAGAGGAGTTCCCCTGTCTCTTTGGATACTTTGTCTTTTTCCAAGGAAAACAGAAGCTAGTTGACGAATAGCGGTTTTCTTTGTCTAAACGGATGGTAATGAATTCACAGTACAGTTGGGACAGAGGAGTTTGGGCAGCAGCTGTGAAAGATGATAAGAAGGATATTAATAGGCACCTCCGAAAAGTAAGAGTAATAAAAGTAAAGTGGATGGAAATAGCTGTTACCTGCTCTGTGATTACAGTGTATAGGGCGGGTTAGCAAGCAAGGGCCTTGGTGCGTTTTTGATACACATCTGAAGTGCCAAGCCGAATATTACATGATTGCAGTAGGGGCATGTAGAAATGCTACTGATATGAGTCCTTTATGCTTAGTTACTATCAGAACTGATTATGGCACTGGTTCATTGTAAAGATTATATCTGAGCAATTATAAAGATTACCTTGAATTAGAGCTTGGTATGGTGTGGGTCTTAGAGTGAAATAAGTCTTAAGAAAAACAATTTTAGCTTGTATCTAAAAACCAACTGGGGGTGACTGACTTCTGCAATGTTTTGTTTGTCAGCATTATTTTAAAGGAATCCTATTATCATTTGATTTTGTTGCTTCCTTTTAGAGTATATTCCGTGTAGTGTTCCATGACAGACGGTTACAATACACTGAACACCAGCAGCTGGAGGGCTGGAGGTGGAACCGACCTGGAGATAGAATTCTTGACATTGGTGAGTTAAGAGAATCTGTTCCCAGGAAGCACCTATAATCCATGGCCTGAGAATTAGTGTTCTTGAGTTTACTTTGATTCAAAATGCTTCAGGGGCTCAATTAGCATGTACTTGGAAGTGGTTATTAAATATAAAAACTTACTAGTATGATGATACCAAAATTTAGAAAGTGGAGACACTTCAGTTCCAGAACAATCATTCATTACTTCAGATGGTTTTTTGTTGTTTTCATTTCTTTTTAATTTAGTTGTGGTAAAATATACATAACATAAAATTTTAATTATTTTTAATACATAAAATTATCCAGTATTTATCTTTTTGTGATTGGCTTATTACACTTAGCATAATCTTCAAGGTTAATTTATGTAGTAAGATGTGTCAGAATTTCCTTCCTTTTTATGATTGTACTTGAGACCTAGTGCACTAAATTCATGCAAGAATAGGCCTTCTTTCCCACGGCTGCGGGACTAACTGTCCTCTGTCCACCCGGGACCCGGGCTTTCCTTGCAGGGCTTTGTCCAGAAGGTCATCAGGCCTAATTAGCATATTACACTTTTATTGCTATAGATAATTTTTCATTGTATCTAGATAGCACATTTTGTTTATTCATTCACCCCTCAGTGGATGCTTGGGTTGATTCTACCTTTTGCCTATTGTGAAGGAATAATGCTTCTGTGAACCTGGGTGTGCAAATACTTATTTCAGTCTCTGCTTTCAGTTCTTTTTGGTGTATACTCAGAAGTGGAATTGCTATATTATATGATAATTCTATTTAAAAGTTTTTGAGTAACCACCCTACTGTTTTCCACAGAGGCTATACATTTTACATTCCTATCAGAATTACACAAAGGTTCTAATTATCTCCTTACCTACACTTTCCTTCTATTTCTTTAATATTAGCTATTCCAATAGATATGAAGTGGTATCTTACTGTGATTTTGATTTATATTTCTCTAATGATTAGTGGTGTTTTCATGTACATTTGTATATCTTTGGAGAAATGTGTATTTAAATCCTTTGCCCATTAAAATTTTTTTATTTTTTTATTTTCTAAAGTTTTACATATGTCTCCTTTTTCCCCAGTTGACACCCCCCACCCCACCCCTTCACCACCACTAGCCATTCCCACCCTGGACACCTTTGCCCATTTTTGAATCTGGTTGTTTTGTTGTGGAGTTGTAGGAGTTCTGTATATATTCTGAATGTTAAACCCACATCAGATATATAAGTTACAATATTTTCTCCCATTCTGTGTAGGTTGTCTTTTCACTGTTGATAGTGTCCTTTGATGGACAAAAGTTTTAAATTTTAATATAGTCCACTATATCTTTTTTTGTGTGTGTGTGTTTCTGTGCTTTTGGTGTTATATCTAAGAAATCATTGGAAAATCTAGTATCATGAAATTTTTCTAAGCGTTTTAGGTTTAGGTATAGATATTTCTTTTTAAGGAAGGAAATTCTTGTTTTTAAGAGAGAAAAAGAAACATCAACTTATTGTTTCACTTATTTATACTTAATTGATTGCTTTCCTGTATGTGTCCTGACTAGAGATTGAACTCTCAACTTGGGTATTTCGGGATGATGCTGTAACCAACTGCTCTATCCGGACAGGGCAGTGTAGATCGATTTTTTAAGTAAGTTTTCGTATATGGTGTAAAGTAAGAGACCACTTTCAGTCCTTACATGTGGATTTCCAGTTTTTCCAACGCTATTTGTTGATATCCTTTCCCATTGAATGGCCTTATTACCCTTGTCTAAAATCATTTTGCCATATATATGAAGGTTTGTTTCTGAACTCTCTGTTCTGTCCCATTTGTCCATATATTCATCTTTATGCCTATACCACACCAGTTTTTGTTTTGTTTTGTTTTTTAATATATTTTAATGATTTTTTACAGAGAGAAAGGGAGATAGACAGAGAGAGAGAAACGTTGATGAGAGAGAAACATCGACCAGCTGCCTCTTGCACACCCCCTACTGGGGATGTGCCTGCAACCAAGGCACATGCCCTTGACCGGAATCGAACGTGGGACCTCTCAGTCTGCAGACCGATGCTCTACCACTGAGCCAAACCGGCTTCGGCCACATCAGTTTTTTGTTTGTTTGTTAATCCTCACCCAAGGATACTTTTTCCACTGATTTTTAGAGAATATAAGAAAGGCGGAGAGACATAGAGAGAGGGAAAAATTAATGTGAAGAGACACATCTCTTGGTTGCCTCTCACATGCGCCCCAACCAGGACTGGGGATGGAGCCCGCAATCTAGGAATGTGCCCTTGACCAGAATCAAACCCAGGACTCTTTCTTCTGCTGCAGTGCTCTCTCCACTGAGTCAAACTATCTAGGGCTCATACCATTTTTAATAATTGTAACTTCATAGTAAGTCTTTATTTTTTTCTTTAATTTTTATAGGGATAGAGGAAAGGAGAGAGAGACATTGATTTGTTGTTCCATTTATTTATGCATTCATTGGTTGATTCCTGTATGTGCCCTGACCGGGGATCAAACCTGCAATCTTTGTGTATTGGGACGATGCTCTAACCAACTGAGCTACCCGGCCAGAGCATGTAGGAAGTTTTGGAATAAAAAAGTATGAGACCTCCAATTTTGTTACTTTTCAAGATTGTTTTGGCTATTTCAAGTCTGATATTTTGTTTTGAGTAGTGTATAAAAGGGCCAGGTTTTTGCCCTAGCTGGTTTGGCTCAGTGGATAGAGTGTCAGCCTGCGGACTGAAGGGTCCCAGGTTCGATTCCAGCCAAGGGCACATGCCTGGGTTGCGGGCTCCATCCCCGGTGAGGGGTATGCAGGAGGCAGCCAGTCAATGATTCTCTGTCATCATTGATGTTTCTATCTCTCTCCCTCTCCCTTCCTCTCTAAAATCGATAAAATATATATATTAAAAAAAAAAGGGGGAGGCCAGGTTTTGCCTCTAAATTCCTCTAAGTTCTTTTATTTTACTAATACCTGAGAACTAGATTAGTACTTTGTCTTACCTTAAGTAAGAGGCCTAGGATTAGAATATATGTCTCTTGGTTTGCAGTTCAAGTTTTTCTACAGAGTAGAATTTGTTTTTCTTAAACCATGGCACAAAAGGGAAAGATCTTTACAAATATGCACAGGCTCTCTTCACAAACGTACTTTGAATCCCAGCATCTGTGTCTTTGATCTCTTATTAGTTTCTATCTCCTATTGGTAAACAGTTAAATCTGAGAACTGCTATGTTTGCCTGAGAAAGCACTGGCTCTCATACAGATATCCTATAATTAAACTGGCTGTAGGATGAATCCAACACAACCAACACTGTGGAGTGGGATCCACTTAACTCTTTCTTGTTTAAATCATTGATACTAAAACAGTATAGTTAGAGCACAGTTATAATAATGTCAGCTTGGCCTTATCTCTTAGTTTGAATAATAACAGAAGTCAAGGAATGGTATTTGAGTTTGTGCTATATGGAATGGATTGAAAAGTTCTACTAAAGCCCATTCATTTTTGCTTCTCTCTTGAGTATAAGATGTGTCACTCTGCTATAGGATTATTTGATGACTTTCCCACTTCTATCTGTGATACAGTACTTTATGCCTTTATTCAGACACTCTACTTTATCCTTCTTAGCAATACTCTTAGTGTACTTCTAGCAGTAACACTAATCTAAAAACTAAGTGAAGCACATTGTTATAATTTTCAAGACACTAGAGCTAGTGTGTAGACTAAATTTATTTTTAAGTAGAATTAAACTTTTTAAAGTAGAGAAAAGATACTCAGAAGCGGAGTGTTTAGATTAACGTAAGCTCTATTCAGACCTCTTTCACTGGCAAAAAGAGGTTTACACAAAAATCTTGGTAACTAAAGGCCAACAATATCTGTATAAGAATCAGTGCTTTCTTACTTAAACCCAGTAGCACTCAGAATTGTTCAATGAATACCATTTGTTTCTCAGATGTCCCGATGTCCGTGGGTATAATCGATCCCAGGGCTAATCCAAACCAACTAAACACCGTGGAGTTCCTGTGGGACCCTGCAAAGAGGACGTCTGTGTTTATCCAGGTAAGGCATTGCAAAGGGGTTCCAGTTATGGAGAGCACCTCTTACTCCAAATTTGTTTCTTAAAGAATAAAGCACGTTGAGTTGGTAATCTTTACAGGGCTCCAGTATGACTCTCAAGTGCAGACTCCCCAACATGTTCCTGAAAGCAATGAGCAGTTTCTTAATTGCTCTTCTGATTTCCCCAATTTATGTATTGTTTCTCCCCAAAATGCTTACATAATTCAGTAGGTTTAAAGCTGTTCCTTAAAAATAATACAACAATTAATAAATAAGAATACATTTTGTGTTTTGCATACTCACAACTGTAAGCCCACTTTTGCCCCACCTTGTATTTTATTCTGGATGTACCATAACTTATCTAATGATTATTTAACATTGAGATTATCCTAATTTTTCACTATTATCCATAAGGTTATTTTGAACATCTTTATACGTAAAACTTGATTTGTACATATGATTATCACCTTTGGATAGATTCCTTGAAAATCCTTATTTGTCATTATGATAGCTAATAGTTTAAGTGGTTCCCATGTTAACACTTTATATGCATAATTTTATCTAAGATTTTCAACAATAATCCTGTGGAGTAGGACTAGTCCTTGACACTTAGGGAAGTTAATAACTTATCCAGGCTAGTATTTGTTCGGTCAGAGTTCTACTGTTCAGATTCACCTAGGTCTTAGACTTTATGCAGAAGCCAGGCAAACCGTTTTCCTCCTATTGCCAGCTTTCATATATACTGTTTTCCCAACATACTAGTAGGTGGTGCCTCCACTTGCTAAAATCTTATCTAAAAGTCCAGGAAACTTTTACTAAAAGAAATCATTTCTCTTTTATGTTAACTCTATATTCTCTGAAGCAGTTAATTAATTTGATTCCTCACAGTAGCTTTTGTTAGCATTAGATCTATTGTTGTTGTTAATCCTCACCCAAGGATATTTTCCATTGATTTTTAGGGAGAGTGGGAGAGAGAGGGAAGACAGAAAGAAACATTGATGCGAGAGAAACACATCGATTGGTTGCCTCCTGCAGGGGCCCTGACCAGGGCCCAATAGGGAGGAGCCTGCAACCAAGGTGTGCGCCCTTGACCGGAATTGAACACGGGGCCCTTTGGTCAGCAGTCCAACACTCTCTCCACTGAGCCAAACTGGCTAGGGCAACATTAGATCTATTTTGTTTGCATTTGTAAATCATTTAAGTTTTCCTTATTTCCATCATTAGAATACCAGGTGTACCAGTTAATAATGCAGATATTGTAATAAAAGAAAACATGATAATTTCAAGAGAAACATCAAAAGTGCTTTATTCAAAGTAATGTCCATCACTACCTACATATTTCCCCCATCTTTCAGGTAATTTGTGGATACCGTCCACATTATACTGGCACAGCAGGTATAAGTTCTTCAAGATAAAAAGAGTAAAAGTTGTTTTTGTAGTTGTTCACAATGCTTTTGAAAAGTTTTGCTATTAGTAGTTGCTCAAAAATGTTGTTGACCCGTTTGTCTGGCTAGCAGTACTGAAACCTGGACATTGTCTTCTCTTCAGGTGCACTGTATTAGCACAGAATTCACCATGAGGAAACATGGCGGGGAAAAGGGAGTGCCATTCCGAGTACAAATCGATACCTTCAAGGAGAATGAGAACGGGGACTATACTGAGCACCTGCACTCAGCCAGCTGCCAGATCAAAGTCTTCAAGGTGCCTGGGCATCGTGGCCCTGGGAGCTAGCACTTGCCTCGTCTTTCAGTTGTAACATTTAGTCACCAAGTCAAAAAGCCAGCTTGTTGGGGTTTTTTTTGTGTTTGTGTTGTTGGTTGTTGTTTTTTCAAATATAAAACTATGAAAACGCATGGTTTTTCATTGAATGCTCTTAAAGCCTGTTAAAGTGATAAGCTCTTTTAAAAACTCACAAAAATTATGAAAAGTTGACAGTTTTGCGTGTATTTATACTTGATCTTCTTTCCTTATTTTGGTCTTTATCACATGGATAAATATGTTCTCATTTAAAAAGATTCATTAATGCAAAGGTATTCCGAGCACGACACTGACGTTCCCCTTTATCACTCTTACCCTGACTCTCCAACCTCTCCCCACAGGTCCCCACTGTTTTAATTTGGTGTGCATATATCCTTCTCTTACCTTCTGTGCTTTTACATACACATGTTCATATGTATACACATATTTTCTTTTCTTTCAAACATAAAAGAGATTATATGGTATGAACTGTTTGAGGCTTGCTTTTTTTCAGATACTGTGTGCTTTTGAGATCTTTCCATGTCCATAGTTATAAATCTCCTATTCTTTTTTAACTTCCTCAAACACTTACATTTCCTATTTTCAGATTTATCTGCAATGATGCATTTTGTCTTTATGTCATTAGAATATATCTTTGTTTTATTTGTGACTGTTTACATTTTTAGAAATAATACTGTTGGGTTGAGGGTGAGTTTAAAACAAAGTATTTCTCATTTCAGCCCAAAGGTGCAGACAGAAAGCAAAAAACAGATCGAGAGAAAATGGAGAAACGAACACCTCATGAAAAGGAAAAATATCAACCTTCCTATGAGACCACTATACTCACAGAGGTAAGAGGATTTTTTTTTGGTGACAATTTTAATCAATACTTTTTACTCTTTTTAAAAAAATATTTCTTTATTGATTTCAGACAGGAAGAGAGAAGGAGAGAAAGATAGAAACATCAATGATGAGAGAGGATCATTGATCAGCTGCCTCCTGCACATCCCCCACTGGGGATTGAGCTGCAAACCAGGCATGTGTCCTTGGCCAGAATCGAACCTAAGACTCTTAAGTCTGTAGGCTGACACTCAATCCACTGAGCCAAGCCAGGTAGGGCAATGCTTTTTACTCAAGAAAAAAAATCCGCCGGGATCGGTTTGGCTCAATGGATAGAGCGTCGGCTTGGGGACTGAAGGGTCCTGGGTTCGATTCCGGTCAAGGGCATGTACCTTGGTTGCGGGCACATCCCCAGTAGGGAGTGTGCAAGAGGCAGCTGATCGATGACTCTCATCGATGTTTCTAACTCTCTATCTCTCTTCCTTCTTCTCTGTATAAAATCAATAAAATATATATTTTTTAAAAATCCAATCAATTACATATATCAAATCGTTATCTTGTGATTTACCTAAACTAATATAATGTTATATCTCGGTTTTTAAAAATTGTTTTCCACTTGTTCGAATTTTATTTGGCCTCTTACTTATGGGGGATTCTGAAGAATTAAAATGTACTTTTACTAATCAAGATGTGCCATTGAAGTAAACATGTTTTGGTGGAACACTAGGGTCAATTATACTTTTTAGTATCTAAGTTTTCCTTTGTTGTAGTGTTCTCCGTGGCCCGAAATCACATATGTCAGTAACTCCCCGTCCCCTGGCTTCAACAGTTCGCATAGCAGTTTTTCCCTCGGGGAAGGGTAAGTCTGGGAAATGAAATTGACTCGTGTTTGTCCTAAATGTGTATTTTTTATTATCTTTCTATAGACAAGATCTTTCTAAATCAATCAGTACTTCTATTTGGTCAGGCTTTGATGGACTTACATAGTAACTGAGGTTTGGATTACCTTCAAAAACACGAAGGTATTTTGTTTTTTAACACTGTCTGTGTCTTTGTAAGGCCTTGTCTCATAGAGGAGAGTGCACTGGAGTAGGTTAGACTTTGTTGCTATGGCAAGCTCAAATTGTTTCAGACAGTTTTGATCATCAGCCAGAGTGTTGCTGGGAAGAGACCGAAAGAGTTTTATATACTCCTTTCTCTTCTTTTTTCCTCCCATTAGGAAATCACTTTTATGGTGGATTTTTAGTGAGACAGGGACTGATTTTCTGGGCTTTTCACTTCTCCTTAGAACTGCTTTTTTTTGATTATTTCACTTCCTGATCATACTCTCACCAGAGATGGGTCATCGGAATTGAAACACAGTTGTACAAACATTAATATCTTTTTTGTTACTTATTAAGAATGATCCTAATACCTAATTATCATGAATCGTTGCTAATCAGGGGGAGAAGGTTGAACATGATAGCTAAAGTGTGTCTTTTCACCCTATTAGCACATATTCCACCTGGGCCATATTGAAATTTCAAATAAGCTATGAAATTTGTGATTATATTGCTTGGTTGTAATGTTTGTTTTTAATTTCTTTAGGCTTTGTGTTCAACCTATTTCTGAAATATTTAATTCAGGTGGTTTAAATATTCAACATGTATCAATTAAGAATAAAAATAGGTAGGTGTTGTATTATAGAAAGAATAGTGAACTAGGGCCTTGAGATAAGTTACTAAATTTAAAGACTGAATTTGGATTTTACAGTTAAGGCCAAAAGAAAAAGAAGAAAATATTTTTTAGGAAAGAAAAATCTCTTATTATTCACATGGATTATTCAGCCTACTTATAAGCAATTTTAATTATTATATTGGATTTAAGAGGTAAAGAATGATTATGAACCTTAGTATGTGTCATGGACTCATCCTTTCATTATGTTTCTTTAGAAATGGTTCACCAAACCACCAGCCAGAGCCACCCCCTCCAGTCACAGATGTAAGTCTAAAGTTAAACATCAGCTATTTGAATGACTGATAATGTTCTGATGACTATGTAGTTCAGTAGAAGTGTCCAACTTGTAAGGAGTATTCATTCATTCATTCATTAAACAAACATTTATTGAATTTTGACTATGAACAAATACTATGCTAGGGACAAGTAATGCAGGACCCTTGTATTATATTTAAGGAATTTACAATCTAGTAGGGAAGATAAGGATGGAATTCCAAGGGTATCTTGTAAGGTTAGAGAAAGAAGACTGATGTACAAACAACTTCCAAGCAAACTAGACCTATTTGAGTGTGGTGTGTTTGGCTATGTATTACCTAATAATATTTACCTTTTTTTAATTCACTCTATTTAGTTACCAAAAAAATTGCTTTCTCTCTTTCAGAACCTCTTGCCAACAACCACACCTCAGGAAGCTCAGCAATGGTTGCATCGAAACCGGTTTTCTACATTCACAAGGCTTTTTACAAACTTCTCAGGTTAAATTTGTTTGTCCTTTGTTTTCTCCAGCATGGATATTCATGTGAGGGTGTGTGTGTGTGTGTGTGTGTGTGTGTGCTCGCGCGCGCACACGTGCTGTGAAATATTAAAAAAAAAAAAAGATCTCTGTTTAAACTCACTTTAATTTTAAAATATTTATTCTTTACAACATTTCACATAGTATTTTATCAAGGAACATTTCGAGGTAGTCTGAAATTTCCTCTTGATATCATTATATTGTATTTTATTTGCACATTCCACTTTTATTTAATACCTTCGGTTACCAGGTATGGTAGGAATACACAGATGGATAAGACATACATATTTCCTGATCATTCATTATCTAGTATCAAAAAAAAATCAAATCAAAATACCACCCCCTCTCCCCCCCAAAAAAAAAGGGTAAATAAGTAGTTATGATGTAGTAGATACAAAGTTAGGGATTTAGAGAAGGGTCTGGGGTTAGGAACATGTGTGATGCATGAAGAATGAGGAGGAATCTGTTGGTCAGAGAGTGGGAGGTTAATTCCTGCAGGAGGAGCAACTTCTCATTAGACATCATCATTGGATGAAAACAGGGTTAAATGGAGAAGTAATTGGGTGGGAATTGCAGTGGAAGATAAAGCAGGAGCCAGGTCATGGAGGGCCTTACATATCATGCAAAGGATTATGGATTATAACATAGTAGTAATGAGGTGTCCTTGTCACTGAGCCCATTTTAATAGTCATTAACAAAGAAAATCTTTGCCTCTATCACCCATTTTCTTATGTTTATTTCAGGGGCAGATTTATTGAAACTAACTAGAGATGATGTGATCCAAATCTGTGGCCCTGCAGATGGAATCAGACTTTTTAATGCGTTAAAAGGCCGGTATGTGATTAGTGTTTAGTGTTAAAATATCAGTGAGGTTGGATTTCAAATGGATTTGGATTCAGGGATTCTTCACAATTTCTGTTGCACAGCTAAATCCATCTTGTCAAAATATTCTATTTGAATGCTAACTATGTACTAAATAAACAAAGATGAAAAATATACTTTCTTACACTTGATTCAAGGAATTCCTCATGATACCCCATTTTTTATTTTCAGAAGTTTTTTCATTCAGTAAATATTCGTTGTCCTTATTATGAGCCATTGGGCTCTGGGAATATATTGGTGAGCAAAATAAACATGGATACTACTTTCTAATGGAAAGAGAGTTAAAGCTATAAACAGTACTTTGGTTAGTGATAATACTTTGAAGTAAAACAAACAAAAACAAGGTTGTGACCTATAGAGTGCAGCATTTGGTTAGAGAAGATCTGAGGAGGGATTATTTATCATCTACAGCCACACCTCCCTGATTTTGGAAGCTAAGCAGGTCAGGTTAGTACTTGGATAGAAGGAGGGATTATTTAAACTGTTATGAGAAAATGAAACTATGAGGGAAGAGACTTCTAGGCAGAGGGAACAAGAGATATTAAGGTTCTGAATTCAGTTATAGCTAGGAAAGAGATCATTCTTAAGTTTGTACAGGAATTGTTTAAGTGGTCTTCTTACAAATATTATTTATAATACAGAGAGTGACTTATAGACCCAGTTCGTGATTTCCAATTTCCAATAGGTACTAGTAATATTAATGGAAAAGACATACAGGTCAGTGCCATAAGACCAAATCAGTGACTAAATAATAAAACAGATTGTGTAGTATTTGTGTTTGTACATCACAAGAGTTATCAGGTTGGCTACAATCTTGAAAAATTTTAAGGAAAGGTGAAATTCAGGAGGAAATGACTTGAAGAAAAAGAATGGACATTTCATTTTTACATGTATTATCTAAAGAGCACTAAAAAATAGGAAGCATGCCGAAACCGGTTTGGCTCAGTGGATAAAGCGTCGGCTTGCAGACTGAAAGGTCCTGGTTTTGATTCCAGTCAAGGGCATGTACCTTGGTTGCGGGCACATCCCCAGTAGGGGGTGTGCAGGAGACAGCTGATCGATGTTTCTCTCTCATCAATGTTTCTAGCTCTCTGTCCCTCTCTGTGAAAAATCAATAAAATATATGTTTTTTTAAAAAGGAAGCAGTGATGGGAAAAGTTAAATTAAATTTTTAAAAAAGAAATAGGGAGCAATAAGGAAATAAGATCAAGAAGTAATTGAATAGGGTTATCAAAGAAGTAAGAATAGAACTAACTGGTTTTGGCACCTACCTTAGTTGCCCACATGTGGAGGCAACCAATCGATGTGTCTCTCTCACATTCATGTTTCTCTTGCTCTCTGTCTCTCCCCCTCCCTCCCACTCTCTCCAAAGAAGTAAGAACAGAAAGAAGGCTTAGGCTACTTAGGTTTTTTTGTGTTTAAAAAAAAAATTTTTTTTTTAATCCTCACCTGAGGACATTTTTTCCATTGCTTTTCAGAGAGAGTGGAAGAGAGGGAGAAGAGAGTGTGTGAGAGAAAAACATCAATATGAGAGAGACACATTGACTGGTTGCCTCCTGCACACGCACCTGCAACCTAGGTACGTGTCCTCGATTGGGAATCGAACATGAGACCCTTCGGTGCACTCTAACCACTGAGCAACACTGGCCAGGTCTGGCTCATACATTTTGAATATAGATTCAAATGGCTTGACTTATTATTGTTCAACTTTATGATTGTGTGGAAATGATATGCAGTCAGTAGAAACTGTACTTCGAATTGTGAATTTTGGTCTTTTCCTGGCACAAATGATAGTAGTGTCTGTCTATCTGTCTGTCTATCTATCTATCTATCTATCTATCTATCTATCTATCTATCTATCTATCTATCTAAAAGCCTAAGTAACTGTTATGACCAGTCGACTAAATGACTGACCAGTTGCTATGATGATGCACTGACCACCAGGGGGCAGATACTTAACACAGGAGCTGCCCCCTGGTGGTCAATGTGCTCCCACAGCCAACCTCCTGTGGCTAGCTAATCTCCCATGGTCCTTCCCCAGCCGGCTCCAATCGGCCCCATCTCGCCAGGTCAAGGGACCCCACCTGTGCATGAATTCCTAGTAATACCATAATGCTGAGTAATGGCAGTAAGATAGTTTTGCGCTACTGTAGGCTCATGTAAGTGTTCTGATCGTGTTTAAGGTAGGCTAGGCTAAGCTATGAACTTTGGTAGATTAGGTGTATTAAATGCATTTTTGAGTTATGACATTTTCAGTTTATGGGTTTATTGGGACATAATCCCACCGGATGCTGAGGAACATCTGCATTTTTAACCTCTACATCAAAGGTCAAAACTCAGGTGACTACAGAGGCCACATGTAAATGAGTGACAGTCAAGCCTGGGGTGTACAGAAGAATGCATGTCCCATACAAGAAAAAAGCTGATTGTTATCTTGTCTTGTGGAATGAGGGCTTTGGATTACCAGATCTGATTTTTGAAAAGCCAAAATTCAGAGGTTTACACTGAGTGGCCAGATTATTATTATCTCTGAACACATAATAATCTGGTCACTCAGTGTGTGTGCACATACTAGAGTCCTGGTGCACAAAATTTGTGCACAGGGGTGGGGAGGAAGGTGTGTTCCTCACCTCATCCTGCACCCTCTTCATTCTGGGACCCCTTCAGGGATGTCCGACTGCCCTCTCAACAGTCCAGGGCTGCTGGCTCCCAACTACTTGCCTGCTTGCCTTCCTGATTGTTCCTAACTGCTTCTGCCTGCCAGCCTGATCACCCCCTAATCACTCCCCTGTCAGCCTGATCAATGCCTAACTGCTCCCCTGCCAGCCTGATTGCCCCTAACTGCCCTCCCCTGCTGGCCTGGTGGCCTCTAACTGTCCTTCCCTGCAGGCCTGGTCACCCCTAACTGCTCTCCCCTGCTGGCTTGGTTCCCCCAAACTGCCCTCCCCTGCAGGCCTGGTCCCCCCAAACTTCCCTCCCTTGCAGGCATGATCCTTCTAACTGCCCTCCCCTGCCAGCTTGATTGCCCCTAACTGCCCTCCCCTGCTGGCCTGGTTACCCCAACTGCCCTTCCTTGCAGGCCTGATCCCATCCCCAACTGCCCTCCCCTGCAGGCCTGGTCCCAACCCCAACTGCCCTCCCCTGCAGGCCTGGGTCCCCCCCCCCCAACTGTCCTCCCCTGCAGACCTAGGTCCCTCCCCCTGCAACTGTCCTCCCCTGTAAGCCTCGTCACCCCCAACTGTCCTCCCTTGTAGGCCTGGTCCTTCCCAACTCCCTCCCCTGCTGGCCTAATCACCCACAACAGCCTCCCCTGTTGGCCATCTTATGGCAGTCATCTTGTGTTCCCACAAGGGCAGCCATCTATGACCACATGAGGGTGGCCATCTTGTATGTTGGAGTGATGGTCAATTTGCATATTACTCATATGCATACATAGGCCCGGTGCATGAATTCATGTATGGGTGGGGTCCAACGAGCCTGGCTGGGGGAGGGGATGTGGGCTGTTGGCCAGCCTGCCTGCTGGTCAAACTCCTGGTTGAGAGGACAACTTGCTTATTAGTCTTTTATTATATAGGATACACACTGAGTGGCCAGAATATTATGTGTTCAGAGATCATAATAATCTGGCCACTCAGCATGTATGGCGTCTTCTATTGGAAAGAATTCAGTTAAATGTGAGCACCCACACACAAACACACACAGAAGCTAATAAAACAGGTCAAATGAGCCGCATTAGCCCATGGGCTGCCAGTTTTCAACCGACACTCTATAGTGTTAGCATAACTATGATACACAAGTTGTCCCTTAAAATGTGCTTGCTGTGAAAAATAGAAGACTAATAGCTTTTTCTCTCTCTCACTAGGATGGTGCGCCCAAGGCTAACCATTTATGTTTGTCAGGAATCCTTGCAGTTGAGGGAGCAGCAGCAACAGCAGCAGCAGCAGCAGCAGCCGCCGCAGCAGCAGAAGCATGAGGATGGAGACTCAAATGGTACTTTCTTCGGTAGGTCATTCGGGACAAGGCCCGGAAAGATGTGAATAAAAAAAGGTAAAGAGATTACTTACAGGCATGTTTGATAGGAATTCATCTAATAGGAGATTTAGAAGCAATTTGCTAGAAATAACGGTAATAGCTTGAGTTTCTAATATATGCCCAGGCACTATTCTCAGCACTTTTTTACACATTTGAATTTTTACTAGTATCCCCTCCTTGCAGTAGATTTTATTGTTATCTCCCACATTTAGGTTAGGAAAATGAGGCTTAAGGATCTTGAGTAACTTACTCTCAACCTCAAGCAAGTGGTTGAGTCAAGACTCAGGATTTGACTTTGAGCCCTTCAGAAGGGCATTCCTAGTGATCAGATTACCAGTCAGGGGCACAGGTGAGAGCAGAGAAAGTTTAAGAACAGATAAACTTTGTACTGACTGCCATTGCTCTCTCCTTTTTGCAGTGTACCATGCCATCTACCTAGAAGAACTGACAGCTGTTGAATTGACAGAAAAAATTGCTCAGCTTTTCAGCATTTCCCCTTGCCAGATCAGCCAGATCTACAAGCAGGGGCCAACGGGGATTCATGTGCTCATTAGTGATGAGGTGATGTACATCTGAATTTTCAGTGCAGCTGAATCACCAGGTGACAGTGAACTTGTCAGGGCACATAGCAGGCGCAAGAGCAGTTCTACTGGGGCAGAGTGCTCTGTTTTCTAGACCAGAGGTTCCAGATGTTTTTGCTTATTTACCTCCTAAAATGATTTTTTTAAAATATGTATTTATTTTTTTATTTTATTTATTTATTTATTTTTTTACAGAGAGGAAAGGAGAGGGATAGAGAGTTAGAAATATCTATGAGAGAGAAACATTGATCAGCCACCTCCTGCACACCCCCTACTGGGGATGTGCTCACAACCAAGGTACATGCCCTTGACCGGAATCGAACCTGAGACCCTTCAGTCCGCAGGCCAATGCTCTATCCACTGAGCCAAACCTATTTTGGCTAAAGATGTATTTCTTTGTACATTTAGGGACTTAAAATTTTTAACTCTTAAGTTTATTTATTTTTATTTTTTATTAATCCTCACCTGAAGATATTTTTCCCATTGACTTTTAAAGAGAGTGGAAGAAGGGGTGGGAGGAGAGAGAGAGAGGAAGAGGGAGGGAGAGAGAAAAAGAGAAGGAGAGGGAGGGAGAAGTAAGACTGGGATTGAATCTGTAACTAAGGTACACGTGCCCTTGACTGGGAATTGAACCTCATTCCCTTTGGTCCAAGGGCTGACCCTCTAATTATGAGCAACATGGACCAGGGCTCTTTTAAGTTTAAATGAAGTTGCAAAAGATGCTATTTCTGGGGCTATTATATTATATTTAAAAAATGAAATGGTTGCCTGGCTGGAGTGGCTCAGTTGGTTGAGTGATGTGTCCTATACATGGAAAGTTGGACAGTTTGATTCCTGGTCAGGGCACATACCTGGGTTGCAGCATGTTTGGAAGGCAACCAATCATTGTTTTCCTCTTTCTCCCTTCCTCTCTAAGCATGTCTTAAGGTGAAGATTAGGAAAAATTTTTTTTAAATAAAATAATTCTGAAATGATTCCTTCACTGTTCTAACTATATTCCATGTAACCTAAATACAAGTGATTTAATACCATCATCTGTTTAAAAGAAATATATACTTTTTAACAGAATTTTTATATAATTTCCTTGAATTCATACTTATGTTTACTTCTCCATATAATTTTATCTTACCATAACATTTTTATGCTTGAACGCTTTTTATTAATTATTTTATTATATTTAATCGAGACAAACATTTGCTTCAACAAAAAAGTTGTTTCTGCCGAAACCGGATTGGCTCAGTGGATAGAGCGTCAGTCTTCAGACTGAAAGGTCCCAGGTTCGATTCCAGTCAAGGGCATGTACATTGGTTGCGGGCACATCCCCGGTAGGGGGTGTGCAGGAGGCAGCTGATCAAAGTTTCTCTCTCATTGATGTTTCTAGCTCTCTATTCCTCTCTCTTCCTCTATGTAAAAAAATCAATAAAATATATATATATATATATATATTTTTTTAAAGTTGTTTCAGGCCCAGGCTGTGTGGCTCAAGTGGTTGAGCATTGACCCATGACCCTGGGAGGGTCACAGTTCAATTCCCTGTCAGGGAACATGTCTGGATTGTGGGATTGATCCCCCGTAGGGGATCTCCAGCTCATCAATGATTCTCTTTCATCATTGATATTCTCTCTCTCTCTCTCTCTCTCTCAAAAAAAAAAAAAAAAAAAATCAAAAAATTTGTTTCAGTTGATAGATTATTTCTTCTGAATAGAATTAACATCATTAATTATACAGTTGATTAAAACAATATAAATGTATTACATGTTTTGATGAGTAATTATTAAACATTAAGAAAAAAATTATTATAAATGCATCTAATAAGATGGATGGGATTGTTTGATTACCTACCCCGTCTCACACACAATTAATTCACCTCTAGATGAATACTGCCTATATAATGAAATAGAGTTCAGCATCAATTCCAACTATTTTTTCCTCTAGATGTGTTGTGGAACCTGGTTCATGTTTATTGACTAACAGCAATGGATGTTGTTTTGTTATGACAACATTGCTCTATGTTTTTTTAACTTCTGAGTTATGTGCCAAAAATTACATAGTATTGTCAAAAATTATGAATCATCTATCACTTGACAGTTTTTGATTAGGTCACTCCAATTCTGGTGAAAAGACAGAATTGGTAACCACGTGACCCACTAAGTCATTAGCGTTTACAGTTACAATTATACTGGGGTATTCTGGAACCTTTTTTTTTTTTTTTTTTTAAATATATATTTTATTGATTTTTCACAGAGAGGAAGAGAGAGGGATAGAGAGTTAGAAACATCGATGAGAGAGAATCATCGATCAGCTGCCTCTTGCACACCTCCTACTGGGGATGCGCCCGCAACCAAGGTACATGCCCTTGACCAGAATCGAACCCGGGACTTTTCAGTCCGCAGGCCGACGCTCTATCCACTGAGCCAAACCGGTCCAGGCTGGAACCTTTTTTTTTTTTTTTTTTTTAATATATTTTATTGATTTTGTACAGAGAGGAAGGGAGAGAGATAGAGAGTTAGAAATATCGATGAGAGAGAGTCATTGATCAGCTGCCTCTTGCACATCCCCTACTGGGGATATGCCCGCAACCAAGGTTGGCGCATTCTGGAACCTTTTATACTCCAGGGTAATGCATTTTGGTAGGATTCCAGGAAGGTGAGATTCATGCCTTTATTTTATAAAGCGGGGAAAGGGAGTTTGAGAAGGAAAGGTGGGAAAGGAAAACTGAAGAGGTTTCAGGCAGTTTGAGAAAAGAGTAGATATGGGAGTTGGAGAACTTGGGGTCAGTTCTCGCATATGAGCCTCTCAGTGTCTGTGTGCCCTGGGAAAGTCTTGGGGTTAACCAGGAAAATGCTCCAATTTTAAGATCACTGTTTTAAACGACTTCGCTTTTAAAACATAAAAACTAAACGGGAGAAAACAAAACAAAGCAAAGGATTATTTTTCACTCAAATCTCAATATTATAAAAAGCCACATAAGCAAAATAAATACAACAAACCAAAGTTTTTTAAAATCAGCAAATTTTCGCCAAAACCGGTTTGGCTCAATGGATAGAGCGTCGGCCTGCGGATTGAAAGGTCCCGGGTTCGATTCCGGTCAAGGGCATGTACCTTGGCTGCGGGCAGATCCCCAGGTAGGGGGTGTGCAAGAGGCAGCTGGTCGATGTTTCTCTCTCATCGACGTTTCTAGCTCTCTATCCCTCTTCCTTCCTCTCTGTAAAAAAATCAATAAGATATATATATTTTTTTTAAATCAGCAAATTTTCTTGCTTTTTTTTCCCCCAGATGATACAGAATTTTCAGGAAGAAGCCTGTTTTATTCTGGACACCATGAAAGGTAATAAAATAGTAAACCAAACACCTTTTTCTAAGGAGCTTAAAAGCTTTTTTTTCATACTTCTTTGAGGTGAGAGGGAAGGTATCAATCACCATATTTGAGACAGAGAAAGTGACATAACATTAGAGGTTGTTCTTTTGTATGAATTGGCTTCTTGTCATTATCAGAATAGACAAAGTATAACTGATGATTCTCTGCCATTCTCTTTTGCCTTTCATGGACAAATGAGGAAACTGAGGCATGTTTTTATAATACAAATTTATTATAAGTATTCTGTGATAATTAATACGTACATTGCTCTTTGCTGTGTATTTTTGTTGTTGTTTTGTGTTTTTTTCTTCAAAAGAGCATAACTGTATTTTTTCCTTCCTAATGTGTCTTAAAGGTGACTTAAAGATTCTTTTCTCTTTCTTTTTTTCCCTTTTTTTACAGCAGAAACCAGTGATAGCTATCATATTATACTGAAGTAGGTGTGGGCATTCCATCCTCGCTGGCTGCTGCTTCCTTCACCTCTTGGAAACGCCTCTCTCAAGGGGTTGCAAATGGAGATGGAAGGTCTGCAGGACCCTGACTGTGTGTGTGTTTGGGGGCGGTGGGGGGAGTCCACGCCATGGAGGCAGAATCTCAGCCATCTGTGTTGGCCCAAGCCCTTGAGGAATACACAGATTACTGCCCAACATGCATTTCTGCAGCTGTTTCTTAGTTAAAATTTCTGGACTCTGTGGTTATTGAATATCAGTAGAAACTCCATTTCATTTGGGGTGTATGTAGGACATAATGATGATGATAATTGTGTGATGCTTAATGGGAAGACGTTAAATTTTGTGATATGAAGCTGTGTAAATTTTTTTCTAATATAAAAAAAGTGAACATCTATATTCATAAGACTAGAGCCTCAACCCCTTTTGCATCAAACATAAACTGGCTTTTGACCACTGTTGGCCCCTGAAAACCTCATCAAAGAGAATTTTTCTTTTGGTTCCCCTATAATATTATGAGTAATATTAATTTTAGCTAACATTTACGGAGCCTTTATTTGTGCCATACATTGTGATAAATTCTTCGAATGGATTATCTTGTTAAACCCTCTTAATAATCCTATATGAAGTAGGTAATAATGATCCCTGATTGAAGATGAGGAAATGGAGACATGTAGTGGCTACGTAGCCTGCTGAGTAATGAGCAGCTAGCAGGCAGTGTGCTGCTGAAATCCGAAACCAGGCAGGCTGGTTCTTAAAACTGCCACTCACTGTGGCCACCCTTCAGTACCCGGTGCTCATCACCATTGCTAACTGTGGCTCTTCTGGCGAATAGGACATAACACTGGGTGAGAACTGAGTACTTAACCACTGAAAGGGACAAACCACACCTAATGATGAACAAATCAAAATCTACAAAAAGTGCTTTGTAAGCACCTTCAGTTATCAGATCACAGAATTTGAGGTGGTGAAAACTAGGGATTTTCTGTAACTCCCAAAATTCACTGTTCTTGAATGACTTTCGCAAACTATTTATTAACGAGATAAACTAACCCCTCCTTTCTTTTGCTCCTCTCTGCATTTTCTCTTGGTATAGGAAGTTCTTTTACTCCCGTGGTGTTCCTTTATTTAAGCTTTATAAGAAACTCTTCTGATTCCATTCACATTCTTCCCATATATTTTTGTTCCTTCTTAAAGAATGATTGTGTGTTTACATGTGTAAGACTATGGGTCATTTTTCTTTTTCACGTGTAAAGTTTTATCCAGACATCCCTTTACATATATGTTGAGTTGAAAAAGATAATGTTCAAAGATTATGTACTGGATTTGGATGTGTGTGTTTTTAAAGCATTTGATAAAATTTAAATGTTTTTATACAGATTTTTGTTCATTAAAATCAATCTGCAACATAGTCTGTTTTTTGGGGTTTTTTTTAGAAAACCTTGAAACTAGAAAATTATGTCAACTAAGTTATTTAGAACTGACCTGGGCAACTTGGCATCTTAGACCAAAATTTTTTTTTATACAGATTTTTGTTCATTAAAATCAATCTGCAACATAGTCTGTTTTTTGGGTTTTTTTTTAGAAAACCTTGAAACTAGAAAATTATGTCAACTAAGTTATTTAGAACTGACCTGGGCAACTTGGCATCTTAGACCAAAATTTTTTTTTTTAGTGAGTGATTACCAGATGCCTCCATTTGAGGGGGACATTCCTAGTATACTATATTCCTAAGACTGGTTCTCAGCTTCAGGGAAGTCAGCTCTCTCAGCAGGTTTCTATTGTGTTGATTTGTTTTTTTTCTATTCTGTCTGAATGATGTTAGACTAGGAGGGTTGGAATAGATGACTTAAGATCATATCTAAATCTGAATCTGTGACTCTTGTTTACTGCAAATGATACATAGAATTCTATTAATATGTTTACTATAAACTTACAGTTACTGATTTTTACTTGGAGTTAGGGTGTGTGTGTTTTTCAGAGTACTCTTCAAATTTATAGGAATGAATTCATACAAGTTTGTAATCACAGATCCTAAATTATCCAGAAAAATGTCTTAGGTTTTCTTTAGCTCCAGAAAATATTTGTAGTGCCAATCCTATATAATAAAAGCCCAATATGCTAAGTGTCTGGTTGTCCAGTCAACCAATCAAAATGTAATATGCTAATGATATACTAAGGCTGCTCGCCATGACATGCACTGACTACCAGGGGGCAGACAGTCGACCAGCTGCTATGATGCTCACTGACCACCAGGGGTAGACACTCTGGTAGGTTAGCTTGCTGCTGACCGATTGGGACTGAGCAAGACAGGCCAGACATGCCCTGGAACCCTTCCACAGTCCCTCCCCACCTGGCCAACCTCCCACATCCCTCCCCAGCCCTGAGAGTGCACTAGTGGGATCCCTCGGCCTGGCCTGTGCCCTCTTGAAATCCAGGACCCCTTGGTGGAGGTTGGCCAGGCCAAGGGACCCCACTGTTGCACGAATTCCTGCACTGGGCCTCTAGTACTATATAATTGGTAAAAATTGGTATTGTGAATATTCACCTTCTTTAAAAATGGCATCTGTTCACAGTTTACCCTTCTTATTAAATCAAAATTTAAACTAGCTTTTTTGTTATGAAAATCATGTACAAAGTGATAAATTCAAATAATAAAGAACAATATAACTTACTACTTACCTCCTAGTTCCATTCCACAGAGGTCCTCATTTTAAAAAATACCCCTCCATATCTCTCTCTCTCTCAGACACACACACAAATACTCAGATGGGTTTATGTAATAACTAATAGTCTGCAATTTGCTTTTTATATTTATGTAATATATATTGAACATAGTTCTACATTAGAATTTATAATTCCACATCATCCTTTTTAATAAATGGCCATTCCCATGCTCGGGCAGGTGTGGCTCAGTTGTTTGGAGCATCCTCCCATATACTGAAAAGTTGTGTTTGGATTCCCAGTCAGGGCTCATACCTGGGTTGTGGGTTCGATCCCCAGATGGGGTGCATACAGTAGGCAACAAATTGATGTTTGATCCTCGACCCTTTTGTCTAAGGGCTAACACTCTACTACTGAGCCATACTGGCCAAGGGGCATCATCAGAATTTTTTTGCATGTATCTCTAAGATATATTCCTAGAAGTCAAATTTGCTGGATCTTACCTTTTAAACAATGTGACAGTTGATATTTAAAGTAGTTTAGTGTTTCTGTTAGAGTGAGGGTGTATGAGAAGGAGAACGTTTAGATTTTAGGCCCTCCTGAGAGGAGAGTAGCATCCTATTTGACTTCACATTGTCTGTTCTGTTCCCTTGAAGTGTAATAGGTTCCATCTAGAAGAATCTGCTGTATAAAGACTTGGTAGTTAAAAGCGGGTTATTGGGAAATAAAAAAGAAAGAGCTATTTACAGGGCTCTAAGAATTGAGTACTAGTCACTTCATGAAATGTATCTAGTAAGTAATAAGACTTTGTCCAGTATTATGGCCCAATAAAAATGTTTGCCCACATAAATTATTCCTTTAAGAAGTCATTTAAAAGGAGGAGAAATGGGAATGGCCATATTGTCTGGAAAGAAATTATAAGACAATGAATACAAGACCACTAGAGTTTGAAAGACCTGAGAAAGCCATCCACATGACTGGGAGACCTTTTAATGCCTGGAAGACAGGCTCTGTCAGGCGTTGGGAATGTTGTGAGGAGGAAGTCATGATCTCACACTGAGAGTGAGAGGAGCGTGGGGAGGCTTGGCAAGTGAGGAAAGTTTGGCACATAGAACTATTTCTCATTTATGCCAGTTGTTTATTGTATGTAAATGGCTAATTATTTTGTATTCTATATACATATATATATAAAAGAAAAAGAAACGTTTAATCCTATCAAGAATTTTTGTGAGTTTATTAGAGCCAAACTGTCAACAATTGCCTGGAAAGCAAAACCTCAACAGATTAAGATAAGATAATACTCCCGAGAACGGCAGTTTTACTTTTGTTTTAAATATATTTCTCACGGGAGAAAGGCAGTTTTGCATCTTACTTTATACATTACAGTCAGAAGATGCCAGTGGCTTACAGGGAATTCATTGGTGATAGATCAGGGAGCTGGGAGGAAGCAAAGCTGGGAAACCTCTGGGATTGAATGTAAAATAAAATGATAGAACAAACATCTTGTACCTAGGCGGACACAGGATAATTAATATTTAACAACATGATAACAATAACAATGAAAGGATTTATGGTCTCCACTGTAGTGCAGTGGTAGTGCTCTGAGGGGTTTGGAAGAAAAGGGAGTTACCCGACATTCCAAAGGAATGTTCTCGAAGACACAGATGTTGAGAGGAGAGGCAGGCTTACATAAGCTAAAGATTGACTTTTGTCAGGGAAGTTTCTAGAAAACATGACTATCTGCCATACACTGCTTTTAGTGAAAAAGTTTTAATTTCAGACCGTCCTTTGTGATTATTTTAGGTCTTTGAGTTTGCAAAGCCACCGTGTGAGGCCTTTCCTAAGCTTGTCAGATTAGCACATGGTCCCTTTTCTTCTACAAAATGTGCACATGAGTGTAAGACAATTGTGTAAACACTGCCCAGGACCTAAAAACCTGACTTTTGCTTTCCATTGGTGGCTGCTATTCTTTTTGGTGGTGGTTGTTGGCTGCTGCTCTTGATAGTATGTCTTTTCTACCTATTCTGCTTTGACTTTATTGTTCCCCAAACAAATAAGCCTTCCCTGATTTGTGCATGCTGAGCTGGTTCATACATACATAGCATGGTCTAGGACAAAGCAGTAACATTTAAAATTGGATGTCCAAGGTTTTATTTACATGTTAATAATATTAGCATTTCTTTTCACTTTTCTTTGTAGTTTCTAATATACTGCACTTGAACTTCCTGGTCATTTGACCTCCATAGGCCCTGCTTAGGCTGGAGGCAGAATTGCAGTTATGAGCCAACTGGCACCATTGAGTTAATTTTAGCTAGTGATTCTATCAA